AAAGCATTTGTCCCTCTTGTATCTTTGTTATTCACCTTATTGCAAAAAGCCTCAAGTAATACACATCAAATGTTGCAATGACCTACAGAAGTGTTCAACATTTCAAAGTTCTCAAATTTTAGGCTTTTCAAAATACCCCCCTTTACTTTGACGACACGATTACAGACTCTTGGCATTCTTCCAACCATCTCCCAGAAAAGCTTCTCCAACAGTCCTGAAGGAGTTTCCACAAGTTCTGGGCACCGGTTGGCTATCTTGCTCTTACCCTTTCATCCAACTCATGCCAAACCAGCTCTGTAGAGATTAATCAGGGGATTGTGGGCCAGGTCATCTGTCACAGCACTCCACCTCTACTTGTTCACAAGATAATACAGCACTTATGTAACCTGGAGGTGCTTTGGGTTGTTATCTGGTTGGGAATCAAATGATTTTCAGTTGGCCTCTCCAGCCTTTTGACTAGTACTGTAACTGTACATATTCTATAAGCAAGGAGATTTGGCTATATAGTCAAAATAATAATGTTTGCTTTATTACTCACTTTAAGGACTCTTATTGAAGCTTATAGCTGCACCAACTATTGCCGGTATGAAACACATCTTGTTGAGGATGATGTTGTTTGAAAGGAATCAACTCGTAGAAGGAAATATAAGGTATAATGCTGATGTTCAAGCAGAACATGTTTTCCATGTTTCTTGGCAGAAGAAATTTTGTAGTGGGGGAAGCATCACTGTAGAGCTTGATCAGGAATATGGAAGACATGTTTATACAGAAGGAAAATTTAAACTTATCAAAGAGAAAGTATGAAAAACACAGACATTCTATGGTCGAACAGGATGGCGGTTCCTCAAATTTGTGGCTAAAGCGTGAGGGGATGCAGTGCCCACGACTTTTCACGTAAAAGCTTTTAGATCATTAGCTTGGCATCTACAGCTGCCGAAAAAGGTGACGTCCAAGAAGAATATCAAAGCGAAATCTTCAAAAGTAAATACATCACCGATAATCATTTATTAATAATACTGCCTAAGGCAAATACAATATTGTATTCGAAGAAACACAAAAATGCTGTTAGAATGAAAAAAGTACCTTAGTCATAAAAAAGTGAAGTTGGACCTTAAGTAGTTCCCCTTTTGTACTTAATCACTTAGGAAAATTACTTGAAATGCAATGGAAAATTCACTAACCATGATCAACCATCAAGGTATGATAGTCCATTAGTGACTTGCAGAGGCATTTATGATTATAGAAACTTTGAGCAGATGTACGCAAAATAAAATATTCATTTTCAAATATGTATTCCTTCACTGAGATCTTATACCTTTTTTGGCAGTGGTCCAAGTCAAAGTAAACTTTGACGCCTCAGCTTTAATATACACGTGAACAGAGAGATGAGACAATGTGGCTCCAGTTTTTACAGGTTTACAAAAAACACAAGAAATCATCTAAAGCAGGATTCTTCAGTTGTGTCTCTGGAGAGCCACTGGAGACCCGTTTTATACATCTCATATGCAGTACTGCTAGGATTGTCTGTCAATTACAATAATTACTTTAAAATGCAGTGCAGAAGTTGAATATAATTGAGTGAGTTGCCTTCAAACTTGGTCATTTGTGCTTAAATAACCTTCCATCAATAACTATCACAGTAACTGGTGATTGAATGTAGTTTACAAAAGGCTGGGAAAATCAGAGCAGCTGGATTGGATTTTGGGAGGTTTGTAAGGTTACAAACAGTAAATGGGAAGAAGATCAGCATAAAACCACAGAAATTACAGTGGATGTCACAGCAGTCTAAATGTTAATATGCATATTTGCAGTTCTGAAAAAGACAAAAAAGAAAAAAGAAAAAACAGGATAAATACGAACAGTGTATTTAATGCAGGAACGAAATAGTCTGCATTACGGGGGAAGTTAGAGTAAGAGCCATCAAACTGAGGTTGACAGAAGAGAATTAGGCAAGAGATATGAGGAAAAAGGTGGTTTCTCTCATGAATAATAAATTAGCTAATTTCCAATATGCGAAGGGAGGCGTGACGACATACAGGAGTGTCACTGGCAAGCTTAGCTGAATTTTCAGTTAGGTGCAACTTGGAACATGAGCCACGGGTGGGGATTTGAGTGAGGTGTGTGACTAGGGGGGGGGTGGTAAGCCTTTGTACCTGTGATCCGAAGATTGCTAGCTCCAATGGCATCTGTGGCAGAATAAATTACATCTTTGTTGGACCCTTGAGCAAGATCCTTAATCCCCCCCTCCTCCGAAACAGGAGAGCAAGATGGGATGTGTGAAAAGATGTGTTCCAACATGCTTGTGCAAAAAAAGCATTGCTTCTTTCTTACAGAAAACCTTCATGCACTTCTTTTACCATTCTGAAGAGGGTGAAGCAATCATTTTAAATGGTTTAAAATGGCACTGAAGAAGCACAAACTCATGGTTGCCATTTAAGGGATGGCCCACTGCAGGACATGAAATGTCCGATTTGTTTATCGCCTCCAATTTGGCTCATGCGTCCAACGTTGTCATTTGAAGTTGTGCCCCTTCAGCGTCATGCATTATTTACACCGTCTGGAACCATGCAGTGGAACTTGATCACACATGCGACCACTGCCATTCTGCACCAACACAGAGTCAGAGAGTCTTGCCAGTAAAATGCACATTCTCCATTTCACAGGGAGTGGAGAGAGCAGAGACAGTGAGTAAGCAGTCACGCTGAAGCATGTGTAGAAAAGGCATTCGCCCGCCCTGGAAAATGTAACCATCATTTGATGATGCTGCAGGTGGTTGAAAGATGGAGTGTATCAGATACACAGATGGTCGGGAGGACGGGGTCAGCTAAAAAAATCAAGGAAGTAGCACAAAAATGAAGGAAGTAGCACACCTTGTATTAGTGCCTGTTTTGACAAGCTGTCTCCGCTGGGGATAGTATTTAGCTGGAAACACTGGAGAAAGAATGTATCTGTTTTCAAACAGTCACTGTACAATTCAGCAATTTGAGAAAAGAAAAGGAAACCTGTTCGGAAAAGTCCGGAACGAAAAGAAAAATATCAATTCTCCCCGTGTCGTTGTGAGGTTTCCTCTGGGTACTCCGGTTTCCCCCCCCCACAGTCCAAAGACATGCTGAGGCTAATGGGAGTTACTAAATTCCCCATAGGTGTGCATGTGCGAGTGAATAGTGTGTGTAAGAGTGTGCCCTGCGATGGGCTGGCCCACTGTCTTGGGTTGTTCCCTGCCTTGTGCCCATAGGCTCCGGGCCCCCTGCGACCCAGAAGGATAAGTGGTTTTGAAGATGGATGGATGGAATTTATGGTTTAATTTCCCCGACCATTAAAATAAACTTTTAATTGGCACATGGATTGGTTTAGACACTATCTGTCTGCCCTACGGTGCACTGCATGGATGTTGTTGGCTTGTCCCTCAACATGACGTGCCGGCATATATCCAGCCCCCCCCCCCCCCCCTTTAATTGCCCAAACGCAAAATCCCTGTCAGAATCTGGCCATCTTCAAGATCCAAATCGGCAGGGTGTGGAGTCTCATCCCAAGACACCCCTGCGACATACAGCTACACAGTTTCCTTTTCAATGCCGGATTAATTATTCTAAAAGCAACTAGGAACCATGGAGATGATGAAGATTCACCGTTATGACAGAATAGGAAGTAGATCACATTAATCAACACTTAACTCAGTATCTTTAAAGCAATATAGATTTTACATCCGGGTAACAATGTTATGTAACGTAAAAAGCCATGATCAATAAAGGCTAAGAAATTGTTTCCTAAGTGTTTCATCCAACAGAATGTAAAAGATATAACAAAAATATTAAAATGTATAACTAAAATCTAAACCTAATAACGTAGGTGTGTCTGTTGGTCTCAGAAACAGCTTCCCTGCTGAGATTGCAGTACACTGCATATAATGTATATAGAGTGTAGAAAATGATGTTATGAACAAAAACATCCAGGCAACGAAATTCCAGTGGCTAAAGACACCTCGTTAATGAGCGAGGCCAGAGGAGATTGGCCGGACTTGTTAACGCTAATAAGTACAAAAATAGCAGCTCAGTACAAGGGTATGGAGAATGGTAGAAAAGAGGGGGTACTAGCTGGTGTACCTAATAAAGTGGGCACTCAATGTGTGTATGAACAAATTCATGTCTCTTCTTAAAGTTAAGCGTGTGTGTTACCTTAGGATGAGAGGAAATGACCTCAGGTTAGTGCCGACAGGAATCAAGTGGACAAACACTCCTGAGACAATTCCAATCCCGCATGAACAGAGGAATCCATAAAAATCCATGGGAAACACAGGTTAGATGCCAAACAGTGAGCTGCAGCAACGTTCTCATCCTGGCAATAAATCATCGCCCCCTGCTGCCTTACAGAGGAAGGGGAATGTCCTTTCTAGGGCCTCTGAGCACTGACCTCCTGGGCTCTGAGCACCTGCTAATACTCCTAATTAATAATGCAATACCAGTCATTTTGCAAAGGCTATAGGGATTTAGGAAAAAGAAAAAAACATTACATTTTGGTTGTCCTTGCAACTGTTCCTTAACTACTGACAAACTGCAGTTTATGATATAGTAGTCAGTCTGTTTACATTTTTAAGCTCAAAAATGGAATACTAATTAGAGGGGAGTGATGTAAGCAGATGTGCAGGGCCTCGCAGGATCTGACAGTTCTGTTCAACAACATTCACTACAGTGGTTTGGCCTACATCATTCTGCACAGGGCTTCTGGAAGCCCAGGCGGACGCTGGATTTGTTCCCCGTCTCGCACAATTCTGCTCCCTTCACAGTCATGGATTTTGGGGATTAAAACACACTTTTTTGCATTAATTTACATATTCAAAATGTTAGTAAACCATCATGAAGTACAGCGATATTACAGTATGATTTTACTATAGGAATCAGAAAACTATTAATCCTGGAGAAAATCGTTTTTCTAAAACCACTCGGAAGACAGGAAAAGGTGCACAAGGCACACACAAAAAAAAACAAGATACAGAATACTCCTTTTTAAATGTCTAAGATCGTTTAATGGTTTGTGCTACAAGGTTTTTCATAATTCAAACAAATCTTGTCAGGTGCACAGTTCCCTTTTTTTGTAAAAGCAAACAAACAGACTAGGCTTTTAAAGTGAAACATCGTAATGCATTATGTTACATAATTATAAGCAAAGGAAAAGGAACACATGCAAATGCAGGCACTCAAAACGGGCACATTTTCAGTTCCAGCATGAGTTATCAAATTATTCTTGCCGCAGACAAAATACCAAAATTTACTACATCAGACAACGTTAATTTTCAGAAGAGCAGAAAGTCTTTCCCCTGACATTGACTTCAGAAATGAAGAATTCAGGTAGGAACAAGACAGACTTGATGTCATCTGACTGTTAAACACCCCCCCGTAATATTTCTTGCACTAATTAAAATGAGAGTAGGCCTTCATATGAACCAGAACTTATATACAGGTGCATATCATAGGGTACATCCTTCAGCCTACAATACCCATGTATTCCACTCCGGTTCGGTGCCACAGGACGTCACCTTGGAGGTCAATGTCTCCCACTAGACCTCCTGTGGAAACTAGGAATTCAGTAACGGAGGGCAATAGGAGGACAAGATCCACTACCGGGTGTGACTTCATTTGGCTATGTGGCACAGCTAAATCAAAATAATCAATACTTTAAAAAAAAATTAAAAAATACACCAACCTGTGACAGTAGAACATACTGTTGCTCAATGAATTTACTCCCTTATTCGTTCACAGGGTTGCCTACTCTCACACATTTGCCGTGACGCTCACGCTTTCAGATACTCACACAAGAAATCTTACTGCAAATCTATATTGTTCCATTATAAATTTAAAATTAGCTACATCAAAAGAATTAGGGTAGTTTGCAAACCCTATGGACCATTTACAAGGTAATTTGGGGTGGAAGGTTAAGGGCTTTGTTACAGGGTGCAACAGAGATGCAATTATTCTTCTGAGGACAGGACTCAAACTAGCAACCTTCTGAATACAGGCCAGAAGACTAACCTACTGAGCCACACACAGCATTTATTTTATAGATGGACAGGTGGGGAGACACATTCAATCGTTCTGCTGTTTGTAGTGCAACTACAAACAGCTACTCTGGTGGTCCTTACGTCAAACCTAGCTGGTTAGCAGTGCAAGGGGCCTGCCTCAGTAATCAGCTATTCTAACAGATCATGATAAACACTGGAAAAGGAGCCGGGTGATAGCTGGCACACGACCCATGTTTGCCTGCAGAGTAAATCTGTAGTAGTGACACGAAGCAGACATAACAATCTGGAACATTCCCTGTAACCAAAAAAACACAAACAAAACAGTTCTCACTCTGTTGCAGTCCCTGGTGCAGCCAAAGGCTTCCCTAGTCTGCTGTGTCATCCTTATCTGCAATGCCATATTTAATTCCACATATTTTTAGTGGGAGAATGAATTTACTAAATGTGATCGGAGACCCAAGCAAAGCTTCGACATGAAAAGCATTTTGTTATGTAAGGCAGTTCCTGCAGTGTAATGTGTAGGTCAACGAGAGGTCAGGTGTACTACATCTCGCTACGTGTCCACAAAGGGCAGGCGTGTATGGTGGTTTTGGAGTAACCTTTAGGTCAGCTGTTCAAACCCAGGTGTGAGGACTCTCCAGCAAATCAGTCTCTAATTAGTAATATAATTAGGGAGTTGTAGCAAAAACCATCACACACAGTGGCCCTTTCCAGATTAGAAGCCCACCCAACACAAATACTTCCTCTTCTTTAGGTTATTCAATGTAATGTAATACAATTTACTTTACATTTCTGAAGCACATTTAAACAATCAAAATATTCCAGAGTGCTGTACAAAATGAACTAACAAAACATAACTAAAAACACCCCCATAAATAGTTACAGTACCATACAACCAAGGACTAAAATAATAAAATTTCTTGCGGAGATATTTTTATTTAATGTATAGCTGCATTGCTTAATGAGGATACATTCTGAGAAAAGCAAAATTAGGCAATTTTGTTCTTGTGCGGACATTGGGGAGGGTACTTACACAAACCTACTGCCACATCGAGGGCGAGGGCAGAGGCGAAGACAGGCATGGAGGAAAAGCAAAAGGGGTTTTTATCAAAGAAACGACAGGCAGGGCAAAAGAAATGGACCACGGGGGGCAAAAGGGGGAAGGGAGGATCAGGCAAGGACACAGGGCAAACTGGACCACACATGCAGGCAGCAACATCAGTGACTGGGCTGGGGATTATAGGACTGAAGGACGCTTTATACAGGGCAGGTGAGCGAGCAGACAAGAGGCACCTGGGGTGATCCACACAAAGGCTTTAACGAGATTAAAGATTAAACAGACAACAGGTCTGGCTCATTAGAGCCACACGAGGGAGAGACCAATGGGGAAGGGATGTAGGGCGTGAGACTGACATGGTATATAGCCCACTGCACTCCTAGGCTACAGAAGCCTTGTGTTTTAGTAGGGCACTCTAAAATAATATTAAACAATAAGTACAGTAAATACATAATTACAAATGCGGAGGTACCTAAATAGAAATACTAAGCTGACTTACTTCCAGAATTCCAACCTAAAATCATACACCAACATTAACATGATTTCCTTTAGATGCCTAAAATGGCACTGTATATCAAATCAATCTCTGCTGGCCATTAAAAGTGCATAAATAGTGATAGTAATTAGATACAGAAATTTTCAAAATTGATCAGTAGTGCAATATTCATATTTGTAACATGCCTGACCCAGCTTTAAGCAGAATTTAAATGACTGCGTCTTTGCGAGAACACCTGTGCTTCACAACTGCATACTGTCAGGCAGCTAGGGCTGGCTGTACGTGAGTATACTTAGCGTGCATTAAATGGCCAAACTCAGGCGTGAAGGATGAATGCAAAAGAGGCACAAGGCTCAGACCCTAACTTCCGAGCAACAACCCGATTTGAATGTTTTACGACGTGTCGGACGGGAAAGCGATTCCTCACCACTGGCAGTCGCGACTGCTGGGAAATTGCTGCATATTTATACAACAATGGTGTAAATAGGTGCTCTCATGCATGAACTGCGTCCTGCATGTGCCTGCGTCGATAACGGACGGCCGCCTGAGTGGGCGCTGCCCGTTCACGGCGCCTCTGCGGCGGGCGAGGTGGCCAGGCCGCGGGCGGGCTCCGGCGTCCGGATCTCACATCTCCTCCTCATTTACACGGGAATAATATCCCCGGTATCACGCTCAAATCCAATTGCTGTGAAAGTAAATTACCATCTATTCAATCTGAGGGCTGAATTAAAATGCATTACGGAGCCTTTTGTATGTGACTGGGGCTGAATCATTGGCAAAGCCATTAATTGTTGTGAAGGGCTTGAATGATACCGTTCCTGTCGGCTGCCTATTTACACATTAATAATGACTTCTCCTCCTCTATTCTCCTTACAGTCAGATTTTTAGTTAAGAGTTTAATAGTCAAAGGTACATATATATATACAGGTATCTGAGCAGCCCCTCCTGTACTCACAGTCCCTCTGCCCGCCAAACAAAATACTCTTTATACTTTCTACTGAGCTAATAATTCACAAGCCACAGAAGTTTCAAAATTAATAATAAATATGTACTGAAAAGAAAAGATGTGGATGGAATCCTTTCTGGAACATATGATACAATGTACCTTTAATGGCAGAATGTTAGAAGGTCTGCGATCCTGGCAAAGTAACACTGCTTGAATAAGCAGTAGGTGTTACACTGTTTTCTTTTTTTTATGTGTTTTGCTAAGCTTGGGATGGACGTTTTTGAGTGTAGCTAACAAGCCACTTGTGCATCTTTTCACAACTACTGATATACAAATATTGTCAGTCATTCCATCCATCCATTTTCTGTAACCACCTATCCTGTTGAGGGTTGAAAGGGGGTCTGGAGCCTATCCCGGAGACTACAGGCACAAAGTAGGGAACAACCCAGGATGGGGCGCCAACCCATCGCAGGGCACAGTCACACACACACCAGTCACACACACACCGGTCACTCACACACCGGTCACTCACACACCGGTCACTCATATATGCACACCTGCAGGTAGTTTGGTAACTGCAGTCATTTTATTTAGTTTTATTCTTTTCTTTTTGTACTCTTTTGTTTTACCCTTTCAAGCACAATGCGGGAAGAGAGTAGATAAGCCTTTAACTACAGAGAAGTTCAGTGTATTGTGTTTAAATCATAAAACTTGAAACCTGAAACTTGGATAGCAAACCCAGTCAAATTAATGTTGCTTCTGCTAAGTATTAAAAACAGCTTTTAAAATTAACATTTATATGTTAGAGTCTTAGGGAAGAATCATATATCAATAATCTTTGAGTAAATGTGACATTTTGAGAATGACAGGTAAACAAATTTGAGTGTACGTGAGGGTTGGGAGGATAATTGACACAAAGCAAACCAGTATCTTCTAACATCCACAATCAGCTCACTCCCAAGAAAAGAAATCATTCTGACAGCAGTGTCAGCATTACATTTTTGAGACATATCAGGAAATATTACACTCTGACAGATGCATTTCCAGATCTGCTAAATTATTGCTCATTCACATGTCTGGAATATTACTAGCAAAATTTAGGTCACACCTCACCCAAGGGTACAGCGGTACTTACTCTACAAAAGCCTCGAACCAAACCCCCAGTAACACATCCAGACAATAGAATCTTCTTCTACCGTGTGTGTTTATTCAGCACATGAAATGTTTCAGGGTTCTGTGGATTACAGCATCCATGAAAAGACCATCTTGTCAGCTGAGGTGAAACCATGACCTCTTTCTTTGGTACGTCACCCGCTGCCCATAGCTCAGGCGAAACAGAGCTGAAAGCTCGCTCTGCAGACCACTTTTTGGGGTATGGGGGAGACAGCCCCCAATGGTATCTTTGCCCTCGGCCCGCGGAACTGTCCCAAGTTATATAACGAGGCTGGGTAATAAGAAGCACAGTTAGCCTTTGCGGGGGCTTCCGGGATGCAGGGGAGGGGGTGATTATTCAGAGGAGCCATTTAATCTGACCTGAGCTCACATGGAAACCAACAGTGCCCCCCCCGTCGGCAATTTGTCACACAGCCATCCAAGCGGGGAAGAGAGGTTACAGGCGAGATGGGCTATAACTTGCAAAATGACTCGCAACCACTGAGGTTGAGGAAATAAATTTTTTTAAAAAAGGCAAAGGGGGCAGTGTCAGAGCAGGACAGGCAGCCACATACCCCAAGATGGAGATGGAGATGAAGACAGATGGGGTAGTGAGATACAAGGAACTCCTGGAACTGAAGCACCCAAGGGGTCAACCTTAATATTAACCAATGAAGAGTCTTGAATCGGTGAGTGACAGAGTAAGAGGCATTCTGGGCGCCAATCAGCTTTCAGCTGGGGCCAGTTCCCCTATGGCCACGCCCCTGAATTAGAACATACATGCATTTTCACTGTATATTTTTAAAAGACGTATGTTCTGACAATTTTGAGCAACATGTAACGATAACAATATCAAAACAATACACTACGAGAATTCCTTAAGCCAGATTATTGCTATTGGAAATGGATCTTCAGCGGAGATAACAGTTAAGTCAGAATGTTATTATGACCACATACAAAGACATGTTAAATTCAACATGATTGAAATGCAAAGAAGCCGCCAGGGCATTTCATCTGATGTGTAGGTTATTGTCTGCTGGAAGTGACATTCTCTGAAACACTGATGCACACTGCAGACCTGCAGATCTAGTCTCACCCAGCTAGAAAATAGCTCAGATATCACAGGGAACCAACGAAGAAAAAACATGCATAGATTTGTGGTGCTGCTTGTCAGTTCCTTAGCTGAAATGCTAATATTTGCTAATATGCTAATATATTTAACATCCAGTCTGGAAGGAAGATCGGTTTTTGCTACATGGTGAAGGTTGCTAAAGGGCACAGATGGCAAGGCTGGTGAGTTTCTAACATTGATTTATTTTATTTCTTAAATTTTTTGATATATATATGCGATTCACTCCCACCTGGGGTCACGGTGCACACAGATTGCCATGTGTTGCTGAAAGAGGACCAGTCTGTGGGAATGGAGCTGCCAAAGGTCATGTGTAAAATCATTCCCAGTAACCTTCCACTGGGGAGCGAAACTTGTTTATAGCACCCACTGGGTTCGGTGTTCTGCAGGAGCTTAAGGGCAGACATTAGTACAACGAGCGAAAACATCCTTATAATCAATAACTTAGTAAATAAAACTAAATAGCATCTTTAAAAAAATCCATAAAATCAGCACCTCATAAATAATAAATGGTTTAAACATATCTGCTTTGAAATGAAATGATTCGAAATATTCACATAACGGTAAATGTGTTTGGAGGACCAGCTAACCCTGGGGGGGGGGGGACAATCTTATCCAGAAAGGATATGCGAGTGCCTATGCAGGTTTTTGCTGCAGCTCCCTAATTAGATTAATTACTAATTAGAGGATTGATTGGCTGAAGAGTCCTTACACCTGGGTTTGAACAGCTGACCCAAAGGTTACCCCAAACACCTGCACACAACCGGCCCTTTGCGGCTAAGACTGCCCCCCCCCTGAGCTAACCTGTGGCCGATGCACTGAGGGCTGGTTCCTTCCTGGGTGCCGTTATACAGTGAGCGATCAGCACTGGCAGTAGTCAGGTGTCAGATGGTCCCAAGTGGGCTTCATGGTCCCACAGTGGCACTACGTCTCAGCGGTTCAAGCCAAAGCCCAGCCCATCCCTTCATGCCGGCTCTCAGAGTAACAACGACAAACAAGGTCTAATACAAATGCCCTTTCTGCATCTGCTCCATCCATCTTCACACTAGGTCACAGGTGCCGAGTCGCCTTCCGGTCAGGGTTGGGCTCAGCAGCTGATGCCGGCCTGAGGCGTAGGGGCAGGGTTGCTGCCCGGGGTCCAAACGCTTCACTGTACGTGCAAAGTCCATCTTTACTACGGAGGTGACTCTGGGAAGAGACAAAAAACTGACATTTTAAACAAAATGAAGGCATATTTGTATTGTGGATTTGTACTGGGATATATGCGCACCACCATGTCTAATTTATATTTGCTGTGTTTTACTAGTAAACTGAAGACCAATTTCCCCCAATGTAACATCAGTCTTACATTAAAATTAAATGCTATAACCATGACAATCAAAAAACATTACATTACAAATACTTGAAATGTAGCTTCATCAACTGAGTATTGTTACACAGTCTCCTCTGAAACCTTACTGTCAAGTTATAATTGCACCAGTAAAGTGCTGAGACGCATATAAGAACCTACAACCTTCTGTTCACTATGGTGACTCACTCATGCTGTCCTCATCTGATGGCAAAAAGACTGCAGCAAAGCAAAGATGCAAGGAAACGAGAGGCACAACCCCAGGCAGGGCCAGGTTTCCACTGCCAGCACACAGAATCCTTATTCTGTGAGAGTGACCCTCACAATCAGCCAGAGTACTAACCTGGGTATTAATGATTTGTGCTTCTCTGCTGTAGATGGCAGATTAATCTGCCTCACCCTCATGTTGAGCTCTCCATTCCATGTATTTACACTGCAAACTGCATTATATCCCAGCTATCAAATGTCCACTTCAAATCCTGTAGTGCAAAGCAGGCTGAACGGGCTCACCTGTAGGGGGCAGCAAACACACCGAACACTGGGCGGCTGTAACAGTGACTGACTGGCCGTGGTTACCTCACGCCAGTGAAAATTCTGTGTCCATCTCGCCCTTCAGAAAAGCAACATTATTGGTTTCCAAGATGTGTACAATGATCTAGCACAGATCAGATGAATATAAATTTCATAAATTAACAGAAAAATATATTAACATAAAGATATAAACATTAATGTAAAATAGTCCATTCACAATGTAGTAACTAGGTTACGTGAGTATTTATTACGGGGGGGGGGGGGTCACTAGGAGGACCTGAGCACTAGCCCACCCCCCCAGTTCGGTTGCCATGCATGCGTCAAAGGCTTTGAGCCCCCGCTAGTCAGAGAGTCTGCAAATTCCTGCTTCTTCCTTTGACTGAGCTTCAGAGCAGACACGCCCCCTCGTACCATATTGTGATTCTGGCACTGGCCATCTAAGGGCCCACATTGCGACATACCCCTGACTCATGCTTGTGAATCGCCCGCCCCCCCACCCACCTGCCCTCCCACGCCTCTCTCAGCGTCGCATAGCAGATTCCAGCTGAGGCAAATGAGGCTGCATCCCCAAGAATCTACTTTGCACGCTACAGAGCCCATAAGAGGCTGCTGGTCTTCAGATGTCTTTTGGTCCATTTGTGGCTCTTATATCTGAAAGGTCAGAATGGAAGGAGGACAGGAAGGAAGGCATTTTGAAATTAATATATGACGGTTATCTGCACTTGAAAGGGCTGCTTTATTCGAGGAACACATGCACAATGTATTCTGTGTAGATGGCTTAATCCCTGACTGGGCTTCAGCGATGACCTTGCAAGTCCTTGGGTGAATGAACCATGTTTTAAAAGGGGGAAAACATTTAATTTGGTGGAAACACTCATGACAACAGAAACTTATGAAATGTCAATCATCTAAACATCTGTGGGTCAAAAAGACAGATTTGATCTGTATCATCTTTCCCACAAAGAAGACGTTAGACATTTTCAGATTAAGGATTCATTTTTAACTTGCAGGTTACCAAAGCTGGTATAGGCAAAACACATCTGGTAATCTACTAACAATCTACTGGAGACCAGTGTTTCCCAATCCGGTCCTCAAGGACCTGCAGACAGTCTACGTTTTTGCTCCCTCCCAAAATGTGGGCTGTCTGTAGGTCCCTATGGACTGGGTTGGGAAACATTGCTGCCGACAATAGATTAAACATCGAGACACTTTTCTGTCTATAAATATAGGACTGTCTGGCATAGTAGCCTCCCTGTGAAACTGCAAATTAAATTGAATTAAATTACAAATAAAGGGCAATATAAATATTTTCATGATCCATTTTTACTATTTAACTAAAATTGAATTTATGCTTGGGGTGCTGAAGATAAGATGGCATATTTGTACTGTAATGAAGGTTTAGAAGAATATCAGATAGTGCCACTTTACAATAAGGCTACCCATATAAAGAGTTTATGAATGCTTTATAATCTGGTTATTAATTAGGTTGTAACACTTAAAAATTGTCTATTAATAATTTACAAACAAGTTACAAAACAAATAACACAGTTTTCTCTTTATTAATGAGTTACTACCATTTACAAGTGGTAAAAGGGAGCCTTATTGTAAAGTGGGACCCAGAAAAATAATAAATGAGTGCAGTTCATTCAGTCCATTGTATTCATTTTGGTGTTTAGCATCTCACAAATTCTGCATTGATTTTACTCCACATTTTTGGTGTAACTTCTACCAATTCCTTATGATTTTCTTTATATTCATACGCATCCATTGTTTTTATGTACATCACTAAAATCTCAGACTGTACTTTATAAATCCACATTACACATGGCACCTTTTATGACCTTTGTTTAATACGCTGTTATGTCAAGGTCTGACTAGACAGTCTAGACAAGAGTCTGTCAAATACAGTACTGCACTAAAATCTTAGGCTGCCGAGGAAAATCATGCTTAAATTATGTTTATGTTTGTGGAACACTACGATTATATGTCTGTAGGAATGTGCTAGCTTAGCCATTTTCAGCTACCATCCAATATATCCATGTATTTGTTAACTCTACCTCTAGCACACCTTCATTGGTTGATTAATAGCCAGAGGCTGACATTTCAGGTTCAGAGAGTATAAATCCAGACCAGATTTTGTTTCAACCAAACAGCTGAGTAAAATAAGGTCACAGTCACAGAGTATGTAACTGCTTGGTTGAAACAAAATCTTGGTCGAGAATTTCTGGACATCTGAAAATGTCTGCCTCTGTCAGTACCTCTGAAAGTTATTCAACTAATTAAGTGTGTGTGCATGGTTGGTATTCCTGGAGAGCAGATGGCACCAGGATGCACTATGGGAAGAAGGCAGTGTGATGGTCTGGGCAATGTTCAGCTGAGAAACCTTGGGTCCTGGCATTCATGTGGGTGCTACTCTGATATGTATGACCTATCTAAACACCGTTCATGGCACTGGTTTTCCCTGATGTCAATGGCCTCTTTCAGCAGGATAATGTGCCCTGCCATACTGCAAAAAATGTTCAGGAATGGTTTGGGAAACATAGTAAAGAGTTCAAGGTGTTGACTTGGTCTCCAATTTCCCCAGATCTCCAACTGATCGAGCATCTGTGACGTGCAAGTCCAAACTAGGGTGGCCGCACCTCTCAACTTACTGGATCTTCAGCTAATGTCTTGGAGCCAGACGCCACAAGACACCTTGTGGAGTCTTGTGGAGGTCTTGTGGAGTCCATGCCTTGATGGGTCAGAACTGTTTGGGCAGCACAAGGGGGACCTGCACAATATTAGGCAGGTAGTTTTAAGGTTTTGGTGGATTGGGTCAGCTAGTCAGCTCGGCGAGGGTCCTCTGTCAAGCCAGAAGCACACATCATGGAATAACATGGAAAGCCACAAATGCATTCTGGTTCAATACGTTCCGACATAGTAATCCCTCTCCCTCCCCCCGGTCCATTTTGCAGTCCCTGTATATTGAAACCATTAAGCAGCTTCTGGAAACCCTGGGCATTCGTTGAGCTCAGGTACCCTGCAGAGTCCCACTTTACTTTATGTGCTATCTTAGGGCTTACTGTAAGATCTGCTTCTGCACTCAATAGCTGCAGTCCATTGCCTTCTGTAGTCTACATTTATATTTGCACCTAACTGAAACTCAAACACCTGATTAAAGGATCTCCCAGCCAGATTATAACTTCAATAAAACAATTTAGAGGTGAGGTAATTAATGGTATTAATGTACTCTGCAGATGTCAAGAAAAAAACCTTTTCCATTGTTGACATTTTGGCTGGAAGGATCTTCCTCTCTACTTCTGCTCTTTTATGTCTCAGTATTTAAAAACTCTAAACGTCAATACTTTCCTGTTGAAACTAATTTGTTCATGAGAACTGTGGGGAATCTGTGTACTGTGTTCAGTTCTGTCACCTAACACACAAGGAGTTCCCTTGAAACCGAATTTGAATGATATAATACCAAATAATTCTCTGATATAATATCAAATAAATCTCCTCTTTGACCAAAGAATGGGGCTGAGATGAAAAAAAATCACATTTTTCAAAGACAAATTATCAGACAATATATTTATGCAAGATTATGAAGAGAGCTAATAAAATTATTTCCTGTGGTAGGTAGCTCAGAATCAGGGCCTACTGTTTGGGTGCGAAACTACAACTGTTCTCTGTAGTTTCAAAATATTTACTGCAGGTCCAGCCATCAATGAATTTGGGTGATTATCTGATCCACAAAATCTGATGGGATAAACTTCTGGGATAGATTCTGATTGTAATGCCTGTATGACAACTAAAATGTTGATGAGATTTTTGCACATGACTATATTTCCTTACTCTTGTGATTTATTGTGTCTCAATTTTGTATAGTGTAATATTCAATTACATTGAACTGAATTCATTTTATTTGTATAGTGCATTCTCACAACATTACATTGTGTCAAAGCACTTTACAAATATCCCTGCCCAAAGCTCCCAGAGAGCAAGCCAGAGGTCAGTGTCTGGAAGCTAAAGTCATAATTATCACCATAGGCCATTTATGGGTTCAAACAAAGCATTTGTCCTTGTAGCTCATCACTGTTATACATCATGGTTTCAAGAAACAAAAGGAAACAAACAGACATGTAAACAGAAAATGCTCTGGTGTGTTCTTAGATATTATAGGGATGAAAAGGGGGTCCCTCGTCAGAGAGCGTTGCGTGCGATGCTTAGGCTGTAGTCCGTGATGCGCCTCTTCATAGTGATGTACTGCCATTGTGGAAGAAGTGTTCCCATTTTCAGACCAGTGACCCAAGTAATGAGCTGCTCTTTGGAGAACTTTGTGTCACCGTGGTGTCGATGGAGTGCCATGGATTCATTTCGATGTAACCTTTAAACAAAAGACCTTGTGTTTCTCTCTCGTGGTTCTGCTCCCTCTCACTGCAATGCAATGTGGGAGTCCCCCCTCCCGCCTTCCCCCCAACTCCTGTTTGAGTCAGAATCGATCAATACGTCACTAGGCAGAGACACTGATACCTTCCCTTTCATCTTAAAGCGAATAGAGTCGCACACATGGAGTTGCATGTATAGTGCTTCTGCAAGCCCATATCACGTCGGCCAAGGCCCTGCATTTTACGCAGTACAGTACATTCCCAGTCGTGCCTTTTAAAAGGGGAAAAAGAATGTCAAATAAATAAAATGAGACTTTGTGTCCTTTTGAGTGTCAACCACATGTCTGCGGAGCAGAATTCTTCCAAGGGGAATTTAACACCTTTCCTCTGAGTGATAACTCAGAGAAATTAATTAATTAGGCCTCTCTGCTGCCGTGTAATGGCTCTTGGGGCTAGTCATGTGATCGCCAATGTATAACCTACGGTTGTTATTGATTGCTCGCCACTGGCAGGAAGTGAGGCAATGAATCTTCCTGCTAGCAGGGCTGCACCAACTGATAAACAGCATCCCTGCACCGTCTTCATGGTTATGGGAAGAGCTTTCACCTATATGCCTTCATTGTTTTCCCTTCATTCCGAGTCACACCTTTCCAAATGAGATATATAACTGGGTGGTTCAACACTTGGTACTTTAGTTTACAATGATTCTCAAAGCGAGCTCAACAACTGAGCAATATGAAAGTCTTTAAAGCAAAGCCTCTTTACAGTGAGGGGCACGCCCACTGACCGGGGGAGGGGGATGATTGTCCAGATCAAAAGGGCCCTCCCACTTTGAAATATAATGAATAATTTGTCAAAAATCAACCTTTGTGAAAACTTTATATAGTATTTGTGAATCACGAACCAGCTTGTTATTTTTTTAAAAAACTTAAATTTCCTTGACATATTGGTTGAATCCAATTTTACAGTCCCTCCATATAATGCAGAAAGTGGTTGAATCCGCTCTTTTAGTGGTGTTTTGAAACACAATGCCTTACAAGGTGCTGGGGGGGGGAGGGCGTTGGACATGATCTTGTCCCCAGGCACGAGTAAGACGCGTGGTAAAATTAATTTTCCTTTCACATGCACTGTGTGATGCGGCATGACAGCCTGGCACTTACACACCCATTTACGTGACACAGAAAGGAAACCAAAAAGATACCTCAGATTTCCAATAAGTGTTATGAGGGCTGTTAGTATCTCACGGTCGACGCCGTGGCGACTGCCACTTTAAAACCTTCTGGTTGT